CAGTAATGCTGCTAAGCTTCCTACAATGCAAAGGAGCCCCCTACCACAAGGAGTTATCCAGCAAAATATATCAGTAGTGCCAGGGTTGAGAGACAGAGCCCTGTTCCTTTTTTTTTTTTTTTTTTTTGCAGCTTTTGGCCAGGGCCGGGTTTGAACCTGCCACCTCTGATATATGGGGCCAGCGCCCTACTCCTTGAGCCACAGGCACCACCCCAGCTGTTCCTGGTTCTGACCTCCTAACCTGACCTCAAATTGAGCCCTGGCCCAGGTTGAGTCCTGACCTTAACCCAGGGAGACTGACCCTGGCCTGGGCAGGTCCTACCTAGCTATCTACCCTGGCTGAATCCTAATCTACCTACATACTCTGGCTGAACCCTAATCTGTTCCTCCTCCTCATGAAAAAGACCTGGCTGGGATAAAGCAAGTGTCTTCTGCCACCTGCCAGGCTGATCTAGCTCCAGCCTTGTTTCTCATGCTGCCTCTGAGGATGTGTGGGTCATGTCTTGCTATGGCCATAAAGCATGGGGAGGGGAGTGACCTTCCCACAGCCAGTGAACATCTCCGCCTGGCCGACCCTCTAGCCCAGTGGTTCTCAACTTTCCTAGTGCCGTGACCCTTTAATACAGTTCCTCATGTTGTGGTGACACCCACACATGAGGAGCAGTGTCTTGGTTACTAAGACCATCGGAAATATGTGTTTTAGGTGACTCCTGTGAAAGCAGAAAGGGTCATTCAACCCCCAAAGGGGTCGTGACCCACAGGTTGAGAACTGCTGCTAGCCTCTTAACATTGGGCTATGGAGCCACAGAGCGTGGTGTGGCAGGGGCCCTTCTTCAAGGACAGGTGGGGGACGTGTGCTGGTGAGGCCTGAGGAAGGAGCAGAAGCCCAGTGGGGTGTGCCTGGTGCCCGGGAGTGATGAGCTCCCGAGGCAGCACCTGAGAGCCCACCAGCTTGATGGGCTGTCAGTTCTCACTTCAGCTCCTGCCCTTGCCCCGGTCAGCCCAGTTCTGAGAGAGGAGGCTTAGAAAAGGAATGTGAAAAAAATAACCTGGTTAAGGGAGACTGGGGGTCTGGTCCTGGCTCTAGGTAGAATCTGCCTCAGCCAAAGACTTTCCTTCCCTCAGTTTCCTCAGTAGGTGTGATGGTAGCACCTCCCACCTCCCAGGGTTACCATGAGGAGTGAGTGGGATAGAATGAGATGGGGGTGGTGGTGGTGTGCACAGAGCACGGCCAGTGCCAGATGAGAGTTCCTTCGGTTCTCTGCCAGGACCTGGAGAACCCAGAACAAGCACAGTGTACACAACAAGGGAGGCTGAGACTCTGGCATCACACCAGAGCAGGTGACCTGAAAACCTTCCAGCTTCAAACTCCTTTGAAGTGCACAAATGCACTACAGGAAAATAAGGAAAACCTCACACATGAAGAATAAGGAGGCTCACGCTGCCAGAGAGGCACAGATGGTCTCTGTATCCATTCTATCTGCTCTGTACTGGAGGTCTGGCTAAGAAGAGAAATAAAGGCACAACACTTAGAAAGGTGGAAATAAAACTCATTTTCACAGATGACATGATTGTCTATGGAGAAACTTAGAACTAATACATTAATTTAAACGTTCAGAATGTAAAATCAATTGGATTTTTATATGCCAGCAACAGATACAGGTAATTCTAAAGTGAAATTTGGACAACAATCTCATTTACATAGCATTAACACACTTCATATATCTAGAGATACATCTGATGACAAAGGAACAGACAATATTCCAATCAAAAAAATGAAGAGAAATGAAAAACCAGCAGGATGAGTGTAGCTGGTGCTCGGCTTTCTGTACTGGGCTGACAGTAGGAATGTTTGCTGGTCTGGGAGACAAGGGCCGGGGTTTTAATGGCTCAGGATACCCTGCACCTCCTTAGTTAGAACTGAGATCTCAGCATAAAGCCCAGGATCTTTATGAGATCTCCCCCAGTGAGAGGAGAGACTTGAAAAATATCCCCTGACTGTCAGGGAGATAAAACAAAGGTTGTCTGTCTTGGCTCAGTATCAGGTGGTTTCCTTTGAGAATTTGTAATCAAGGTGTTCCCCTTATTTCTGGTAAGGGTTTGAGTTAAAACTACCCAAATGGTTCTGGAAGGCTTGAGCCAAGAACTTAGCAGAATCATTAGTGTCAGGGGAAGAATGCTTTGGCAAGCACCCAGGAGAAGGAATTGAAATTCTCTGTGTTCTCTGGAAGGACCTGCCCTCAATCGGGTTGAAAAGAATTCCCACCTATAAATCCCTACTAAATACAGAACTCAGAATTCAACAACTACCAATCTCACCAGGCAATAATCCACGTGAGAGAGAGTCATCAGACACCCAGACAGCAGAAATTCCTCTCAAGAGTTTGATATAATAGAAAAATAAGTGATATATTTAACAGAAGTTAAATTTTTAGAGACAAAGAACAAAAGAGAAGGAAAGAACAAAATATGAAAACAGAGCAAAGACACAAGCAAAGAACCAAACAAAGCTTTCAAAAGCCATAAATTGTTGAAATTAAAAATTTCCTGGAACTGGGAAAGTTTGAACATCAAGTGGGTATTAGATTAATAATTAGGGAATTACTAATTCCTCAATTAAAGATATGCTAGGTATTTTCATGTAAGAAATATGTTCTTTTTTAAAGAAATGCATATTGAAACATTTAGAGATGAAATGCCTATGTCTAGAGTTTGTTTCCAAATGTTTCAGCGCAGATGAAGATAAACGGAGTAAACATGGCAAAGTGTTAATAATTGTGAAAACCAGTGGTTGGGTAAATCTGAAATTTTTACCAGTGGTTCTCAATATTTCATTGTGACGTAGAGTCCTTCAGTGGGCTTTTTAAAACACAGATTATTACATCTGACAAAGGATTTGTATTCAGAATATACGAAAACTTAATAACAAGAAGGCAAACAACTTTAAAAATGGGCAACAGCTTTGAACAGACACTTCACCAAAGAATATACATGCAAAAGGGAAGAGAGGATAGTGTTAAACATCATTAGACATTTGGCAAGTGCAGACTAGTAAAACCACAATAAGATGCATCAGCTCATCCATTAGCATGACTAAAATTAAAAAAAAAATCTAAACTGACATTACCAGATGCTGATGAAGATGTAGAGCAACCAAAAACCTTGTATATTGTTGGAGGGAGTGCAAAGCAGTGTTCGGAGTTTCTTACAAAGTTAACTGTATCCTTTCCATTGCCACTCAGCAATCCTGTTCCTGGATGAAATGAAAATTTGTATTAAAGGAAAACCTGTATGCACATGTTTATTATAGTGTGGTTTAAAATCGCCCCAAACTGGGCTCGGCACCTGTGGCTCAAGTGGCTAAGGCGCCAGCCCCATACACCTAAAGTGGCAGGTTTGAATCCAGCCCGGGCCCGCCAAACAACAATGACG